AAAAAAAAAAAAAAAAAAAAAATACTTCATTTACTTTTTAGATAACATGGGAAATCCTGGTGAGTAATAAATTGACGTTTGCTTGAAATGAGAGATAATTTTGGGAGACATGACAGGAAATCAATTAACTTATTCTGAGAGACTATGCAAAAACTCAGAACAATTTTTGTTTATTCACAACAGTACAGTATAAATTCCCAAATATACACTAATGCTATACGTGTTAGGTTTTAAAAACATGTACATGGGTACTGGAGACAAAACATGCGTAATAAATATTGTTTTAATGAATGAATGAGTTTTCTCTGTGTATTGGAATAACTTTTAAAAATCTAAAATGTAAAACATTTACAAAATAGAAGAATTTGGGTAGGTAAAATGTGCTTGATAGGGTCTCATCTTTCCCTTGAGGCACTGTGCAGCATCAGCCCACATTAAGTATTACAGTCTAGCTGCAAAAAGGAAAGGTAGATTTAGAAGTACTCTTATCACACCTCCAGTCATCTCACAGAACTATGTTAGCTCAGTACACAAGCAGTAATGCTTACCAAGTTTATCTACACTGAAGCCCTCTGCTGCTGCCAGCTCTGACTGAAAGAAATCGTAATCATATCTGATCAGATCCTCATTGGTGCGTTCTGCAGGAAATCCAACATAAAGGTAAGCACTGTTTGATCCCAAAATAACACGATCCTGAAGATTAAAGTACATGGTGCTGGTTAAACTCAAGGATGTGATGTTTCTCACTTAAAGTGCTCTCTTTTTAGCACTTTATCTGCAAACTGATATGCCGTCTGCTATCCCATAAGGAAGGTGAAGGGACTGAAGAAATGTGCATAATTATGTAGTGTTATTTTGACAAATAAAATTTGCAGAATTTAGCAGAACTTTAAAATATTGTGTGCAGAATTTTTAATTTTTTGGTGCAGAATGCCCCCAGGAATCAGACATGCAACATTAAACAGTAGTGGTGTAACATTCAGGTCTGTACTAAACATACTAAGGTTAAGGACATTCTTTTAACTTAAGCTTCAATAGTAAATGAAGGCTACTTACCTATAACTAGAGTTCAAGATGGGCTTTGCATCGTTACTTATGGTATGTGCTGCCCTGCAGTAGAACCCTCTTCTAGCAGTGTCAGCTTGAGCACTTTCGTGCCCCAGCTCTTCCCCTCGGTGTCCCAATGCACTGAGGGCGAGACTATACGGGGTAGAGCCTGGTCCCCACCTCAGTTCCTTCCAGTGCAAAGCCAAATACACAATCACAGGGACTCTGACAGAGAGGGGAAGGAGGGTGGGAAGTGAATATCCAGAGGCATTTTGAAGAACTCTGGTTACAGGTAAGTAACTTTCATTTCTTCTTTGAGTGGTTCTGCATATTTCTAGGCAGTCATCTCCCATTTTGTATTCGTGCAAGTGATTATTCCATCCCAAGGGTAGTACTTTGCATTTGTCCTTACTGAATTTCATCCTATTGAATTCAGACCATTTCTCCAGTTTGTCAAGGTCATTTTGCATTCTAATCCTGTCCTCCAAAGCACTTGCAACCCTGTCCCATCTTAGTATCATCCACAAATGTTATAAGTATACTCTCTATGCCATTATCCAAATCATTTATGAAGATATTGAATAGAACTGGACCCAGGACAGATCCCTGTGGGACCCTACTCAATATGCCCTTCCAGCTTGACAGTGAACCACTGATAACTACTCTGAGTATGGTTTTCCAACCAGTTGTGCACCAACCTTACAGTAAATTCATTTAGGCCAGTGGCTCTCAACCTATTTCTCATTGTGGGCCACATATGCAGCCCACAATGGGTTACCTGGACCACAGGTTGAGAGAAAGAAAACAGGACCCCGGCGTTGAAGAGACAGGAAGGGTTCACATCTGTTCTGGCATGCAGTTGGGAAGGAACCGAGGTGGAGAGGGTGGTCCACTCCACATAGCCTCACCCTCTGTGTGTCAGGTCACTGAGGGGAGGGGTGGAGTGAGAGAGCACTCTAGCTCAGGGGTTCTCAACCTTTTTCTTTCTGAGCCCCCCACCCCAACATGCTATTAAAATTCCATGGCCCACCTGTGCCACAGTAACTAGTTTTCTGCACAGGAAAGCTAGGGCTGGTGTTAGGGCAGGGTAATTGCCTGGGGTCCCATGCCACAGGGGCCCCCACAAAGCTACATTGGTCAGGGTTGGGCTTCAGCCCCAGGTGGCAGGGCCCCAGACTTCAGCCCCATGCGGTGGTGCTTCGGCTTTCTGCCCTGGGCCCCAGCTAGTCTAACACTGGCCATGCTTGGAGGACCCTCTGAAACCTACTCGCGGCCGGCCAGGGAGCCCTGGATCCCTGGTTGAGAACCACTGCTCTAGCGGACACTGCTTGAAGAGGGTTCTACTGCCAAGTACCACAAGGTGGCGCGGTACCCATGAGTAGGAATATGCAGAGCCACTCAAAGAAGATCTATGTATTTTTAAAAGAGGCAGGTACTCATCTAAAATGTATTGTCCCTAGAATACCTCAAGTCCCAATCCTACAAGTAATCTTTACTCAACATGAAAGTCACTAGTGATATATTCCGGACAGAGATTAGTCAGGCAAGTAAGGATTACAGGAATTGGCTCTTGTTTTCTCTATAATACCTTCTTTTTAAAAAGACATGGTTACTCCTGTTTGAGTTAACCTACTTATTAAAAGTTACAGTAATTATCTATAATGGTATCTCTACTTACAGAAATGATTTCCGGTTAGAATTTGTAAGAATCTTTCTGATCTGCAATCCCCATTTCTGATTCTTTTATTCTCCAGGAAAACTTACCAGATGCTGCAGTTTAGTGTTCATAGTGATGGGTACACCATTGACAACAACTTTGCACTTTTGCCGCGGCGTTATGGTAACTTTGCCCTCAGTATTTGTGAATGTAGCATGCTTGTCCAAAATGCTGAAAGATAAAAACACTTTTTGCAGTTCATGGATCTCTTAAGAATCAAACTAAAAGTAAACATTTCCCATCTCAAAATCCTGAAAAAACATTTATTCTAATTTTGAAGATAATAAACTTTTACTTGTATTCCAGTAGCCCCTACAATGTGCTAGGCTAGGCACTGTCCACATCATCCAACCTGAGAGAAACTGCCTCTCCTCCCCAGGACATATACCACACTTGAGATCAGCAGAGGCACCAAAGCTGAAGCTCCCTTGGAATAGAACAGAAGATGCTGCTGGCAGGGCATTCTGGGAGGGCCCCATGACTTTGGGATTCAACTCCTTTAACTTGGTCCAAAATAACCCAGATTTGTAGACCTTCAAGGCATGCTGCAAAGCCTATTACTGTTGAGCAGGCATTTGGCAAGGGCTGAAGTGGCTGGCGGTGGGGTTTCTTTGGGGAATTTGGGTGAGGAGATATTGATTCGGTTTGTGATGTGATTTGCTACTGGGTGGCTATCTGTATAGGGGAAAATGTGCTGCTGTTGTAGATCTGTAATGATGTCTGAGGTGCGTTTTTATTTGATGGCAAGGACACCTAGAATCTGGGATAGGCCTTACTGTGTATCTATTTAAATCCAAATAAATAAGTACCCTGAAGAACTCACGACTTAAGGTCTTGTGTAACATGTCACACAGTTGCTAAAATAAGTTCAACTCTATTGGCATTAGCAATGGTAGAAGTATAATGTAGATGTGCTGTTGGCATTTTACATGCTGCCTCATCGAAACCTGTTCAGATCAGGTCTAGTGGTACTTTTTTTTTTTTAAACTACAAAGTTTGTCTCTCATTCTCATGTTTTGTCCTGTGTTTTGTGAGCTTCACTGTCTCAAAAGCATACAGCTACCTTGGTTATGATGCAGTCACTGAGGTAGCTGGTTTTGGATCGGCTGATGGCCTTAAAAACATGAGCACTGTGTGGCTCAAAAGC